GAACGACGAAGAAAACAGTGAATCTTTTCGAAAATCATTTTAGAAGTGGGGGAGAGGAAAACGAGAGGCAAATGGCGAATAATGTAATGCAAGAGATGAGATTTTATGATGGGTACTTGGTATGTCTTTACTTGGCGTAGATCTCCCTGGAAACGATGCCAAAAATTCTTCCTGCTACTTCTTGAGCTTGCGTTGGTTTTTCTCTTGAAGAGGAAAGGGTGATGCAGCAAGGTAGAGATAAAAATGTCCCTCAGTTTGAGAACCAATGTATCAATCCAGTAGGAGAAAACACACAAATCACTGAATACCTCCACAAACAATCAAACAAACTTGCACCCAACGCAATAAAGGGGTTGTCAATCCCTTCAAGGTTACTTGCAAAAGTGAGATCTGATAGAGATAGATAAATAATAAAGTAAATATTTTTGGTCTATAGATCGGAAAGTAAAAGATTGCAAGAATAGTAGATCGGAAACTTGTAGGATGGAAAATAGACCCGGTGGCCATAGGTTTCGCTAGAGGCTTCTCTCAAGATAGAAAATAATATAGTGGGTGAACAAATTACTGCCGTGCAATTTATAGTAAAGCGCAAAGTTATGATAACATCTAAGGCAATGATCATGAATATAGGCATCACGTCCGTGTCAAGTAGACCGAAATGATTCTACATCTATTACTATTACTCCACACATCGACCGCTATCTAGCATGCATCTAGCGTATTAAGTTCATAAAGAATGGAGTAATGCATTAAGTAAGATGACATGATGTAGAGGAATTAACTCAAGCAATATGATGAAAACTCCTTCTTTTTATCCTCGATGGCAACAATACAATACGTGCCTTGCTGCCCCTACTGTCACTGGGAAAGGACACCACAAGATTGAACCCAAATCTAAGCACTTCTCCCATTGCAAGAAAAACCAATCTAGTTGGTTAAACCAAACCGATAGTTCGAAGGGAATTACAAAGATATCAAATCATGCATATAAGAATTCAGAGAAGATTCAAATAATCTTCATACATAAGCTGATCATAAATCCACAATTCATCGAATCTCAGCAAACACACCACAAAAAAAGTATTACCTCGATAGATCTCCAAGAACATCGAGGAGAACACGGTATTGGGAATCAAAGAGAGAGAAGAAGCCATCTAGCTACTAGCTATGGACCCGTAGGTCTGTGGTAAACTACTCACGTTTCATCGGAAGGGCAATAGATTTGATGTAGAAGCCCCCCGTGGTCGAATCCCCCTCCGCAGGACGCCGGAAAAGGTCCCTAGATGGGATCTCACGGGTACAGAAGGTTGCGGCGGCGGAAAAGTGTTTTCGTGGATGCCCCTCTTGGTTTGGGGATATATGGGAATATATAGGCGAAAGAATTAGGTCGGGAGGTGCACGAGAGGACCACAAGGGTGTGGGCGCGCCCTACCCCCCTGGGCGCGCCCTACATCCTTTTGGCCGCCTCGTGGCTCCTCCGACTTCGTCTCTAAGTCTCCTGCTTATCTTCTGGTCCAAGAAAAATCATCACGAAGGATTCATTCCGTTTGGACTCCGTTTGGTATTTCTTTTCTGCAAAACTCAAAAACAAGGGGAAAACAGGAACTCGCACTGGGCTCTAGGTTAATAGGATAGTCCCAAAAATAATTTAAAATAGCATATTAATGCATGTAAAACATCCAAAACTGATAATATAATAGCATGGAACAATAAAAAATTATAGATACGTTGGAGACGTTTCAGGGTCATAGAGCAATATATCAGTGTAAACCATGAGTGGATCCCCATAGGACTAAGGGAATGATGCATGGATGGATTCAAGCGTGATAGGACAAAGAGAAAGGAGAGGAGCACGAACCATCGGAAGCCATCACGATTCTTCAGAAGCTTCGCTCCACAGATAGCAGATCCGGAAAATAAACAGGAACCGATTGACCCATTGCCTCGACATCGGGTTAGGGTTCCAATCGAAATAAGGAGAGGAAGAGGAAAAGAACGGAATCACGGTTGTAGTGGAAGAAGGAAGAAGAATGAAAAGGACAAGAGGAGATGCCACTGCGGTCAACGAAAAGGAAACATGAAGAACAACTGGGCTGAGCCGAAGGTGGAGGGGGGTGCACCGGTTTGCAATTAACATATTAACATGGTCATAAGGCACCAAATATGAGTTGGTGTCATCGGCGCTCCACCTTGCAAGCTGACTGAGCACTGGTACGCATGGTGGCAAGGAACTAGGCTTTGAACCAAAGGCCCGATGACTCGAGGAAAAAACAATTTGTATCTCATCTCCCCCTTGCGTCCCCGTTCATGAGGAGGCGTCAAAATTTATCTGCAGAGCATCGACCCTTTTGAAGTTGGCCCTGCCGGCTCATGTGAGTTGACGAGGCAAACGAGGTTCAGCGGATGCCATGATGTGATGCGTTACGGGCGCCCCTATGTCTCGCTAATAGTGAGTTGTAGGCTAGCCTCGCGTTAAATGAACGCCAGGCTGTGCCGGCCTAGCGCGCGAGGCCACAGGCCACAACCTCGTTTTAACTCGGGTTTTTCTTCACATTCTTTATTTTTTCCTTTGATTTTTTACTCTTGTTTATACTTCCAAACATTATAAATGTAAACATTATAAGAAACAATATATACAAAACATTTGAAAAATGTTAGTTAAGCATTTAAAAATGTGAAATGTGTATAAAAATGTTTCTCGTGTATACAAAAAATGTATATAATTTTTTTTCAATGTTTGCAAAAAATTTGATCATTATTAAAGAAATGTTAATCAAACATTTGAAAAAATGTTGGTCAAGTATTTTAAAAAACTAATCAAGCATTTCTAAAAGTTGATCAAGCATTTTTTTTCTCATGTATACAAAAAATATACAAATACTTAAGAAAAACTTGCTCATGCATTTAATTTTTTTAATCAAACATTGGAAAAAATGTAGATAAATTATATGAAAAAAGTTAATCAAGCATTTGAAAAACGTAAAAAAGTGTGTAGTAATGTTTTCATGCATACAAAAAAGTATACAATGTGCGTGAAAAAAATGTTGATCATGTATTTAGAAAATGTTATGTATGTAAAAAAATGTTCCTGATGTATAAAAAAGATGTACAAATGTGAATAGAATAAGTAAACATGAAAAACATATGTTTGAAATATTGGTAGTCATGTATTCAAAAGTTTATCCGTAGCTTAAGAAAACTTTAATACCATAAAAAATGTTCATCGTGTATTTGAATAAATGTTGCCCATGTATTCAAAAAAGTGTCCATAACATGGTTTTTGGAAGAAAAAAATGTACATCATGTATTTGAGAAATGTACAATGTGTATCAAACAATTGTTTCATGTGTACACCAAAAAAGTGCACTGAGCACTAAAAAATAAATAGACATTTTCCAAGGAAAAACAAAAATTGATGAAACCCAAGAAAGAAACATAAAGAAAATAGAGAAAACCGAGAAAGAAACAAAGAAGACAATGAAAACCAAGAAGGAAACAAAGAAAGAAAAGAAAGAACAAAAGGCAAAAACCGGTGAAAACCGATAAAGAAACAAAGAAAATCAAAGAAAGAAAAAGAAAAAATCCCGGTGAAAATCTTGAAAGTAACAAAGAAAACTGCTGAAAAAGAGGGAAAACTGAAAAATGAAGAATCCGGTGAAGAAATTGAAAACCCCGGAGAAGAAATAAAGAAACCGAAAGAAATAAAAAACACACACAAAGAAAAGCATATCGAACACATAACCATCAAATGACCTAGCGCTAAAGATGGACCGGTCCAGTACTTTATGGTCCTAGGAAAACCTTCAGACGAGACATAAGAACTATTGCTATAAGCGAGATATAGAGTTTGCGGAGTTTTACGGACGACGATATGTATAGTTTGACATGAGCAACAATGGGCCTTGGGCCGTGCGCTTGTATCCTGTAAACTGGGCCTAAAAACTTATTTTACGATGAACAAATATTTAATAGACATTTTTTTATATATTGTGAACTTTTTCCTAATACACATAGATCCATTATAAGATGCAAGCTGCCCATTTTCCAAATAAATAAAGATAGAAGGGAAAGTTGAAACCGGACAGCAAAAACAGAAAACCGGGCATAGGAAACTGGTGAAAAGAACAAAGAGAAAAAACCCAGAAAACCGGTGAAAAAGCCAAATGGGAGGTTCCCGGAATACCATCTCAAAATGTTCGCGAAAACTAAAGCGGTCAGAGCCCAGAAAACGGGGCAAAGAAACCAATGGATTGAACAAAAGAAAAAAAAACAGGAAAGAAAAACGAAAACCCGGTAAAAGAAACCCAAATGGAAGATCCAAAAACCAGCTCGAAAAATGCTTGTTCGACATCCCAAGCGCTGTGTTCCTACTTCCTAGTGGGCCGGCCCATGTTAGTGCTTAGCGGGTGACGCGAGTGATATGTATGGCTATATGCTTATCATTTGCGGAGTTTTACGGTTTTGTAAATCGGTGTATTGCATCGCATGCCTACACAGGAACAGTAAAGCAAAGAAAATGGTCCGAAAATATCGAGATGGTCCCTGCGAAGAAAAACTAGGAAAAGATGATAATCTTCTAAAGAAAAGGAAAAGTTGAGAAGAATCAGGAATACACAAATGACACGATGGGATAATGCACATCACCGTAGAGGATGCTCGCCTTTCTCCGCAGCCGTGCAGCTCGATTGCAAATTAACCATTACATATCTTTATGTACTAACTTACATGATTATGATTTTGAAGAAAAGTTGTAGTAGCACATACTAGTACAACACATGAACAGAAATACTAGGATTAACAAAATGTATACGCGTAGATATAAGCGCTTGCGCTGTATTGAGGTTAAAAAAAAACCTCTCTCCTCTACATCACTACATCAACGACAAGAGGATGTACGTCTGCATATGCCTCCTTATTTATCTTCGAACGAGGTGGTTCGTTGTTGATTAATCTCTACCATATCCCTATACGCTTCTCCTTTCTAGCTAGAGTAGTTCAGTTCAGTCCAGTTGCCCCCTCTGCGACGACAAGATGGCGTCCAGCGCCTCCTTCACCTGGGAGATTTCCGGCGCTGTTCCCCCTTGCGCCGGCCAGAACTCGTCCGTCGCCAGCACCTTGACTTGCAGCTGCAGGAACTTGACGTAGCTGACGGCCTTCTCGAGCATGGTGACCATGTCGACCTTGGTGCCGTTGGGAACCAGCTCCTGCAGTGTCCGCAGCCGCTCGCTGATCTTCTCCCGTCGGTTCTGCAGGACACGGTGGCAAGTTGTTCAGATCCACCCAAGTCAAGCATGCAGTAGAGACAAGTGCAGTTTCGCCACCGAATTTACCTTTGCGGCGAGGCTTTGCGGGTCCCCCTTGGGCGAGGTGGTGGTGCGCGCCGCCGGCTTCGCCTTACTCGTCTTCCTGCGCGCGCCGCACGGCTTCTTGGAGGCCCGCGGCTCCGCATCCTGCACGCGCGCCGCGTACGATCGCTTCGAGGAACCGCGCGCCGGCGCCGGGGCGTCGGGCGAGCCGTTGGACGTGCTCGGGAACAGGAGCCCGAACGGCCGCCCCGCGCCGCCGGAGCTCTGCATCAGGCTGAAGCAGCCCGTGGCTGGATCGAACCCTATGGTCGACGCCGGCCCTGCGTGCTGGTCCTCGTCCATGGCGTCCATCCACGCGTCGCAGTCCGCCTCCTCCTGCGCGACTACCTGGGCGCCGGGGCCTCGCGCGGGCGCGGCACGGTCGAATGCGAGCACGGACATCCCCGCGCCCGCCCAGCTCGCGCTCTCCGGCACGTAGGCGCCGGCGGCGCCGGCTGGCTCGTCGTGGGCGTAGTTGTAGCCCCCGAAGAGCACCGTCGTGTCCACGCCTCCGAGCAGCGCGTCGTGGCCACCGTAGACGAGCGCGTCGAACCCGCCGTCGTACGTCACCATCGGCTCCCGCACTAACGCCATGATCACGATCACGTAGCGCTACCTACCTAGTTGCTAAACCAAGATGGTGTCTAACTATATAAGCTCTGTGCTGTGCTGTGCTCCCACAAGTGGTTGGCAAGCGGCGGCGAGTTGTGTGCTGCCTTCGCGCCATGCCGCCGGCTATATATACATGCGGCGGCGCACAGGCGGGCACATGGGTGGGCGGGCTTAAAGAAGCCGGTGCAACAAACAAAACACCGTGCGTGGAGAGGATTATACAAAGTACATCTGCATTAAATGCTGGAGCTAGATAGGTGATCGAGCTGCCGATCCTTGCTGTAGCTGTGTCCCTCTCCTCTGTTCCCGGAGCCTCGCGCGCACTCAATACCGGTTCTCGGGCAATCAGGTTTAGTGGAGCCCCAGAAGGAATGCATGAAGGAAGGGAGGTTGTGCGGATCCACCTGAAATTGAAGAGGGGGCATGGCGACCCGTTTGGGTTGCGGGGAGGCAGGGAGCAGAAGGCGCGGCGGAGGCGACGGGCTCTCCCACGTGCTCCAGATCCCCGACCCCTCTCTTCTCATGTGGCCATGCGATTCAGCGGCGGGCCGGGTCAGCTAGACAGGCCGCATATGCTGATTTGCCTTGCCCTCTCTTTATTGCGGGCTTGCGGCCATGCAACGCAAATGGGTTTTCTACATTTCCTACAATGGTACCACAATGCCTTGATATCCTGCTTCATTTATTCTTTTCTTTCAAGAACACGTAGAACCTTTTCTAATCGTTCGTTCCTTCAAGTGAGAAAAGATTGTAGAAGCGGTGCATCGGTGTCACGAGGCTATTAGCATTCATCTTTCTTTTTTTACCCGCAACAAAAAACATTCATCTTTTTAATTTTTTTGGCCTTTTATTGATATTTTTCTTACACCGGTATCAAGTATAACTTGTCGTAAATAGATGCTAACCTAGTATTTAATCGAAAATGTATACAACCAACCTATTGCAAAACCAAAGACATAAACCCCACAAAATATAAAGTGCCAACAAGAAGTTAGAGGGAAAAAAGCTAGGGGAAAACAAATCCTAGCGCGGTCTCTGATGGTCAGCTCTACAGGTGTACACACCGCCAAGACAATAGTAACTGCAATGGAATTATTACATCTGCAATGCAGCGAGCAAAGTTCAGAGTATCATCCAAGACTCTTGGAAGGGAAAACAACACCATAGAAATGTAAACCTATCTAAAGCCCCGGAGAAGATTCCTACTAGGAAATCCTAAGTAGCTCGCCCCACCGTTGATCTAGCAGTCATAGGCATTCGAGTTATAGAGTTGCTTGAGCATTAGAACATAGGATCTTCCATTAACGATCCAGAGAAACGACCAAACCCAGAATCCACTTCACGCTTTGCTATTTTCGCCCCTAAAATATAAATTCATTGCACAAACACCATAAGCCCCATAAGGTGGC